TCCTTCAAGGCTCAGGGGTCCAAGATTATCTTCTGTGTCTGTGTTAATTGGTTTCCCTTTTCTTTGTTGAAGAGGGTCTGTGCAATCCTTCTGCCTAGTCTGCCATCTTGCCCCGCCTCCCGATAACTATGTTTTTCATTCAGAAAATGTATTGGAAACTTCCCTGCCCAAATAACACAAAGTATACTTTGGAAACAACTCCCTTGATTTCAGTTACATGAGATAAAAAAAAAAAAAAAAAAGTTGTTAACTACCATTTTACAAGGAGCAATGGAAGGATGAAAACTAATTATAGCTTTCTTTTTCTGGTAAATAGGACCTCAGATTAATACTACAGCCCAGGATATTTTCTCTTCTCATGTTCTCTCAAATACGTAAGTATGTAAGAAAATTAATATGTAATTGTAAATGATATTTTAATAATTACACAATTTACTTGCTTCCAGTGTTCTAGTTCTACAAACGCTCAGCACTAAATTTAAATTGCAAAATAGACAAAATTAATCTTTCATGTTCTCCCACTTCCTTCTCCCCATGTGGTCCTATATGCCCTCTATGTTCCAAAATTTTATTTAACTTGCAAATATAACCCCACCATGACCTGTCCTCCTCAGGTCTTGTCATTTCACTGCATTTGGACTTATCCCTTTGCCTTTATCCCCTTTGAAACATTTACCATTCCGTAGACCTTTTGAGGTAATTGCCTTTCTAGGAATAATAAGGTATATAGTCATTTATATAATATTAATGACTTAATCTGTAGTTCCTTTCCTAAAAGATATTTGAAATGCATTACAAAATCATCAGTCTCTAACAATGGAAATATGCAGGCTTTGGATAAGATATTTTAGAGGAGCTTGGGAACGTTTCATTCTTAAAACTTTGTTGATCACCTATTCTGTTGGTATCTGTTTTTCCTGAACATGAGAGGAGGAAGAAAGACTATTGTTTTAGACCCAACCCATTATCATTTTAAAAATCAACAAACCAGAGAAGTCCAGAATAAAACCCCAATTGCTATGAAAATGCTTGCATTGTGTAGTGGCAGATGATATTGACATATTCAGTCCAAGCTTCCTTGAGGAAGAGTCTTGACTTTAGGATGTCAGTTTGTCTCACATCCTGAAGATTCATAGGATACATATGCAATAGATGCAGAAGGAAGAAAACTGGCTAGTCCAGTTGAGAACAATTGGAAACGATGGAAGAATGACGATTACGTGTAGACAATGACTAATATATACTTTATTTATTGGAAATATAATTATCTATCTCTTTATAACAAAGATTAAAGGAGGCCCATAAGGTGTTAATGCTTACCTCTTCATCTTCCCTCACCAAAAACTACAAAACTAAAGAATCAATTAAATATTTTCATAAGAAATATTTTGGATACTCTTTCACTAAGTACCTTAGCTCACTCTCCACCACTCCTCCCCTAAAATAGCCTACTTTTAGTAGCATCTCACCTAACACCAGGTCAGAGCACAAACAAACACAGCTAACAGTCTTTTCTGATCTGACTGTTACACCAACATCATATTCCTCTTGTTCTGATTTAAACCCACATTTCAAAAAATTTTACTGTGAAACATCACATCTATTCCACCATCCAATTCCTCTCCCCTCATCTTCATCACTTAGTTCCCTCTTTTTTTATACTGCCCACACAAAAGTCATATACTGTAAGGTAAATAAAATAGAGATGGAAATTCAGGATCAAGTGAATGAAGATAAAGCAAATATGACAGCAGTGGGGATAAATAAATTCCAATAATTTAGCACTGCATTTAGTAAAAAGTAAGTTTGTATGACTGGGGTGTAAGACGTCAGGAGTCACAGTAAAAGAGAAGGCAGCAAGTCAGCCACTCCGCAGACTGTAGTTGCAATTGTAGTTTATTTATTAGATTACAGGTAGGGGGTAATATGGTCAAATTAGCACACATGATGAATAACTTTGATAGCAGCATATATGACAACTTGAAGTCAAGAAACTAGGAACCATTCCTGGAAGTCTGTTAGTGAATAGTGGCCTGCACAAAGGCTTCATTTTGGACTAGAGATAAGTATGTGCAGATACAAAACATTTTAAATGAAAATTTATTACTCAGACATTCATTGAGAACCTCTACTATATTCAAAGCGTAGTGCTTAGATGTATGAATCTAGGAAAACTGGAAGTTGTCAAAAAGGAAATGGAACGCATAAAGATTGATATCCTCGGCATTAGTGAGCTTAAATGGACTGGTTTT